CTGGGGTGAGGGAGAGAAGGAATCAAGCTAACACAGTTGCCTTTCCGCACTTAGAAGTACTTCCTCCCATGCTATCAGTGAATTTACCCGAGTACATCATGTTCACTGCCCTACTGATGTCCTTTCATTGACTACAGGATAAAGCCTAAACCTCTTGGTGAGGTTTTCAAGAACCCTCCTAGTGTCTCCAGCCTGATTTCTTGCCACTCTCCCATGTATTGGATGGTTCAAGCCACTGGGTCTTGGTCTGTGCTGCTTTCTTTGAAGCCGCAGCTCTGAGAAGCTTTTTCTAGACTATCGTGTGTGCATCCTTAGCAACAAGTATCTACATTAATCAGAGCTACCACTTGTGCTAAGTGCCTGACATGCAGCAGTTGTGGCCCTAATGTGAGCCTGATGTCATTGTCATTTTATATTGGTGAAAACAAACCAGAGGTTGAAACACTTCCAAAGGCTTTGGACCAGATCTAAGTGCTCTTCTAGCCTTGCTACAACAACTGTATACAAGTTCCCCAGACCATGAGTTTCTTGTGGGGAGGGACTATGTTTGATTCACTTCTGCATTCCCAGCTAGACCAGGGCCTGGCACAGATTGTGCCCATTTGCGTTTGCAGAATAAATGAATGCTAGGTCAGGTGAGAGAAAGAGTGGGTACAGTGTGTGTGCAATGGGCCTAAGTGAGTAAATGACTGGCCCAAAAGTGGGGGCAGGTAAGGACAAAATGGTAGAAACTTAACCCGTTATAATTTAACAGTCATTTACTAAGCACATAAGGACCCTGCATAATAAATACCCCAGAAATAATTTAAACTTAGCTCTTGCTCTCAAAAATTCTAGGTTCAGTAATTAAAGGTGTTAGGATTTAACAGTCCATCTGATAGCAAGCATTAAGTTTGTGGCTCTCGGGGTTTTAAGGAAATTAACATCTTCAAATTCTTGCAGTTGTCATTTCCTTTGAAGATCTGGCATTTCTATATAGTGAATCTCCACAGGCTTACAAAATATGAACCAGAAGTGGCAGGGATCCCTCAACATCATTTCCTCCTACCTACAATGAAAGTGGTCATGCTAGACAGGCAGTCATCCTAGGGGTGGTCCCTGTGTAGAGGGGCTAGCTTATTCACACGTGTGCCCTGAATCAAGGTCCTGCCATAGAGGCTATCATGTGTGCTGAGTGGATAAAACATAATGAGATGGTTTTAATAAAGATACTGACTGATCCTCTGCTCCAGTTCCTTGAGGGAGCAGGTTTACCTCTGAGCCATTGGGGAATCAGGTCTCTAGAGACCCTTTAACTAGGTAGGGCAAAGTCCCAGAGGGATGCTATACAGCGATCAGAAATATGAAGAACAGGATGAGTTCAACCCCCACCAACTTCTGATTTCGTCTCTCTCTCTCCTGGGGCATACTGAGCGTGTATCTGCATTACAAGTGGAGTGGTCTGAGAGAACTGAAGAGTCAGCAGAGCTGGCAGGTGAGAATACCCAGGCTTCGGACGGCCATCTGGCACAGTTTCTGCCACATACCACCTCCGACTCTTGTGCTAGGAGCTTCTGTGTACTAGGTGCTGTGTAGGTTGCTCCACATTCTATTGAGAAGTTGCCCGTGAAGCTTAGGGGAAGAAACATGTCCAGATCACAAAGCTAGGAGGAGACTGAGCTCAGAGTTCACCCCAAATCTGTTATCACTAAGCACAATTTCTCACAGTCTCCTTCAACGGCTTTAGATGTTTTTCCCCTTTCCTAATAAGGCAGTAACTGTACTAGGTCTTCTTGTGAGGTGAAAGAGGACTTGGGTTCCCAGTGAAGAGATCAGTGTAGTTTAGTAGCCTGAATCAATCGGAAATACAGCAGTCCTTCTTTACATGAGATTTCACTTTCATGGTCAACTGTGGCCTGAAAATATTACCTGCAATAAGGTGTTTTGAGAGAGAATATTCACAAAGCTTTTTATTACAGTATACTGTTATAATTGTTCTACTTTCATTACAGTTATTGTTATCCCCTTATTGTGCCTAAATTATAAACAAAAGCTTTATCAGAGGTATGTATATATTAAAAACATAGTGTATATGGGATTCTGTACATTAGTTTCAGACAATCACTGAGGATTTTGGACCATAACCTTCGTGAATAAAGGGGGACTATAATAAGGACTTCTGGGATACTGATTAAGCTCAAGATCCTAAAATGAAAAGTGTACAGGTTATGCAAATGAGTTATGGGGTGGAATGGAATCACAGTGGCCATACAGTCCTAGTTACTTACACAGGGCAGGGGCCACTTAGAGACTGCAGATCACACCCTATGGAAATGTAGGCCCTTTAGAGTTTGTGGGAAACATTTCAATTATTTAAAATACTAGGTCAAATCAAAACAAAAAGACAGAAACAAAGCAATCTGTGAGTTAGGATATTAGAATTCACATTCATGCCCGTGAACCGGAAATGGTATTTGCTACCTTTGGCGTCAGCTGGGCAAGTGACCCTGTGTTTCACCTTCCTTGCCCATTTTGAGTACATATAAGAAAGGGTTCTTGTAAGTGGTGGTGGAAGCCAGCGGTCCTCACCAAAGGCATGTCTGTGGGCAGAGCAATGACTGACCCCAACCGTTTAAGCAGGGCCTTTCCATCAGTGCACAAAGGTCTACTTCTGGCATGGAGAACCCCCTGCCCAGCAAAAAAGTGAGGCACAATCAGAACATAGTTTGTCAATTTGTTTCCCCTCTTGTGGGGGGTAGTAAAAATATGCTTTGTTAAAGTACACAAGAATGTCAGTTTTCTTTTTTTTAGGGGAGGGGGAGGGCTGAGACCTATAATGGGCAAACGTTTGGTTACTCTAAGTTTCTGTTTCATCATTTGACAAATGGGATAGCAGTATTTATAACCTTTCAGTTCATTCATTACTCTCCAGACATAGGGGTACAATGGTGACAGACATGGTTCCCACACTCTCAGAGTTTATGTAGCAAAAGTGAACTCATAATCATACCAATAGTTAACTCATCACATCTGTGCTAAATGCTTAGAATATAGAGGGGGTAGGAAGATTAGAAGTAAGGAATATAAAGTGCCTGGCTTGAATATGAATGCATGAATTAGCAAGTCAAGCACTGGAGTAGGCAAGAACATGGTTAGGAACCTACCCTACTGATGAAGCTTATAGTTCTTAGGTACTTAGTTGCATTCTAAATAAATACTAAATGGTTAAGCCATCACCCAAACTTCTTGGCCATGAATACTATAGGTTGGCCAAGTGGTGAGATTCTAGAGTACTGCATGGTATGAAAAGGGAGGAGAGAAAATAACAACAGGTCCCTGGCTCTCCCATCCCCCACCCTACCCTTTTGGATAACAGTACTCCCAATGGGGCCCAGAAAAGGCTAGAGGGGGAAGCAGCTTCATAGCTGGAAGTCAGGCCAGGCATGAGTGGGGTTCAACCTGGGGAGCTGCATCCTTTGGAACTAGTGTCAGCCCAGGGTAGAGGGTGGGGGTGAAGGTAGGACTTCTGATAGTAGGTACAGACATTTTCATTATTACCTAATGAAATTCTTTTTAACAAAGATCTTAAACAGATCTTCTTGTGATATGAGACACAAAGGAAACCAACATCAAAAGTGGGTTACAATAAGGACAGGTTCTCAACCAACTCATTCTTTCTCTTATTCACCTGGTTATTTCTACTCTTTGTCAGCAAAGCCCATGGCTATGCATGGAGGAGCATAGATATATAACACAGTCTGTTTCTATGCACCTATGGCGTTCACAGTCCAGTGTGGGGAACAGAGACATTAATAAGAATGTCTTATTGAAGAATGGGAAGTGCTGCCAGAGGGGAGCACAGGGGACTGTGGGCACAGCAGGGGCACCTGACAACGGGGACGTGAGGGAAAGCTTTCTGGATGTGAGGGAAGGCTTTCTGGGAATGGTACCCCAAATGGCAACCCCACTCACATGCACAATTCCAGAGATTCTACTAGAAGGCTGTCAAGAGCCATGCCTTCTGGCTGCACCAGCCTCCCAGAGTCCCCTGCTGCCCGATGCAGTGTCTGCAGAGCCAAACGCATCTTCCGCCACGCCTCATCCTCATCCGGCGCTGCATCCGACCCTCCAAGACTCCTGCAGGAGCCTGCCTTCCTTGGCAGGCTCAGCCAAAAAACCAACTCAAAACTCTTTTGTCAGAGCAAGCTTAGGGCGAGCCACCCAGCCCCAGGTGCCACAACCCTCCCGGAGCAACTGTGGCTCATGCCACCCCAGCCTCTCAGTTAACACTGGGAGGGTACCTCCCATCATCTCTTTTGCTCAAAAGAAAGTGACCTTCTTCCAGGTGGCAAACTGGAAGCTTTGGAGGTCCTCTTACTGCTCACTTAGAGCAAGAATCACCAAACCCAGGGGGTTTAAGGGTTGGGGTGGCCGTCTAGTGGGCCAGGGGTATCGAGGGGAGAAAAAACTGGCTTTTCTGGGCGCCCACCCAGTGTGACAGCCCCACCGAAGAGTCTTTTGGACAGCCTGGCTGTCTGCTTCAGCTACTCTGCTGGGCAAAGGAGAGGCGGGAGGCCCCAAGAGACTATGCTGGGGGCACAGCTGCTGAGGGGGCAGTGGCTGCAGGCAGTGAGGGGAAGGGGTGGAGCCGCTGGCGGTGGGGTGGGGGGAACGGGAAAAGAGGGGGCAGTCTTCCAGGTCCCAACGCCCTGAGATGGCTTGTGGGTGGTAGAAGGGGGGTGAAGGGCAGAGAGCTGAGCTATGGTCTCAAGATCAGAGCCCGGGTCCCAGTGTGGGTGCAGGACCAGAACGTTTAGCTTTTGCTCCAGCCCGAGGGGGCGGAGAGAAGGCAGCAGCCTGGTCTCGGGAGGACTGGACCGGCCGTGTCCAGGCTTTGAAGGGGTCCAGCTCCATTCCCTCCTCGGAGGGTGGGGGAAAAAACCCCATCCCCAAGCCCTCCCGGCCCCGCTCCGGGGAGGTGAAAGCTCCCTAGCAGCCGGAGTCGCCACGCTCGCTCCTACCTGCGGACCGGGCGCCAGACCGGGCTCGTCCTCCTCCCTAGGGCCGTCGCGGTCGGGTTCCGCCGGCGCCTCCGGGGGCCCAGCACCCGCTCCCGCTTCCAGGCTCGGCGGCGGCGGGGGCTCGGGCGCCTGGGGCTTTTGCGGCCCAGCGACCCGCGCCCGCTCGCGCCGGCCCGCGCCGCCGCTCGGCCTGCTCCGCCTCCGAGTCATGCTGCTGCTCGCTCCACTCGCGCCGCCGCCGCCGCTCCCCTCGCAGGACAACAGCCAATATGGCGGCGCCCGGCACCCCCTCCACCACTGCCAGCAGGTCAGAGGGCACGCGGAGTCCGCGCCGCCGCACTAGCCCCCGAGGCTGCCCGCGCCATTTTGAATAAGGTCACCCCCCGGAGTTCCGTGGGAGAAGAATCTGGGGAGGAGACGCCCCTCCCTACGGCTGACCGAAGAGTAGAGAGCTGAGCTTTGGGGGAGGGGGGGAGATGGAGGTGGAGGGAGGATAGGGAGTGGAGGGGGGATGGAGGAGGAGGGGGCATGAGGGTGGAGGGGGGATGGGGGTGGAGGGGACTGGGGGTAGAGGGGGGATGAGGGTGGCGGGGGACTGGGGATGGCGGGGGGATGGGGGTGGCGGGAGGATGGGGTGGGGATGCGCGCGGTTGTAACGCGGCGCTGCGGCCCTGGGCTCTTAGTCACTGCCCGCGGTTAGTCACGGTTCTTTCACATCCATTACTTGATTCCACACGGCGAGGCAGGTACAATCCTTCCCATTTTGCAGGGCAGAACCTCAAGGCTGACAAAAGGTGAAATGGTGCTCACCATCCAACCAGAACTCCTGGGCTCCTGAGCGGAAAGAGACGAAAGAATCGTCTAGGTTTTTATTTGCAATATACGGTCCACTGAGAGTCCAGCGTTAGTTGTTTGGACATCGGGACTTAGACCCTGCTCCTTTTCCAGTTTGCTGGGGAGTGGACTCTTAAATAGTTACTACCATTGTGTGTTAGAAAGTTGAGATGACTGGGCATGTACTGCAGGTCAGTATTTCCAAAACAGCGGTTTGTGCAGGAGAGCATTTTGAGAGGTAAGCAAAGGAACATTAAAGGTTTAATATGTATTTAATTGTTAAAAATGCGATTTTTCTTCCAGTTCTTTTTCAAAAATATGGAATATATTCACATGGTACTCATTGAATTAAAAGAAAATTTGAGTGCAATCTGTCGCATGCCAAGATTAGTGGGACCCTGAAGCCATATGGTGGTTATATACAGAGTTGCTTTTGATGTTGGCAAGAGGAATAGAATCCTGACACTGGCCTAACCCCGTGCATCAAGAGCTGTTTTGAGAAGAAGGGCCAAGTGAAAGGCCCTGGAGCTCTCAACTGCCAGGAAATTAAATAAAAAAATAATACTTTGCTTCTTACAGTATAATAGAACAATACTAAATTCATCAGAGGTGTTAGTGCCACCCTCAAGCATTTGAAAGATGTAGGATAATTCCCACTACGTTGCTATGGCCACTTCAGTTTTGCTCAGAGTAGAAGATGGATTTGTTTTTCCACCTACTTATTTATTTTTGTGGTAAAATACATATGCCACAAAATTACTGTCCTAACCATTTTTAGGTGTAGAGTTCAGTGGTATTGTGTTCATATTGCTATGCAACTATCACCATCATCCACTTTAGAATTCTTTTCATCTTGCAAAACTGAACTTCTGTGCCCATTAAACAGTAGCTCCCCGTGACTGGGTCCCCCCAATCCCTGTCAACCACCATTTCACTCTCCTGTTTTTTCTTCCCCCAGCCTCAGGTAACTACTATTCTACTCTGCTACCATGAGTTTGGCTTTTTTTCTTTAATATCCCACATATAAGTAAGATCGTGTAATATTTACCTTTTTGTGACTGACATATCACTATTACATCCTCCAGGTTCATCCTTATTGTAAATGACAAGATTTCCTTCTTTTTAAAGACTGAATTACATGTGTATATATAAAACACATGTTCATTTTAGAAGCAGTATTTACATTTAATTACATATATAATATATTATCACATTTTATTTATATTTTCATGCTTTATTTATATGTCTCACATTTTCTTTATCCACTTACCTGTTGACAAAGAAGATAGATGGTCTTTTTTTTTTAATAGAGGCATGTTTTTATTTATTTATTTATTTGATTTGTTTTTGTTTTGTTTATACATGCACTGGGTACAGTCAGAAGAGCGGGAGGGTGAGAGAATTCACCAGAGCCAGAGCAGGGAGCAGAGCAGGCAGAAGGACCGAAGTACACTGCTGAGGGGAGCAGCGGGCGGCAGGAGAGGTCTGCGCGCCATGTGGGACCCTCCTCCTGTGGCCGGGGAGCAGCCAGGGATCGAACCGGCGCCGCAGAGGCCGCGGGCAGCTTCGCAACCCAGCGCTCAACCGCTGCGCCACCGGGGAGGCCCGAAGATAGATGCTCTTAAAGGATGATAGCATCTTCTGATAAACTCACTCTGGTAGGACTCCCAATTGTCAGTACCCTTTCAGATGTGGTCATATGGTCATTCTTGGAGCAATTCTTTCCAGTTTTCGGTCTCCAATAGGCAACTATAGGTCTGTTCATGCTTTTTTTCCTATATCAAACCTTAGGGATAGTTTATATTCCTCTGGTAGAAGTAAACCTTTACAGTCTTGCTTTAGGAGTGTGCCACTCTCTGGACACCCTTAGTCTGCAGAATTTTTTGACTAAATCACCGTTGCTATGACTATCAGGCTAATCTGATGACTTTATCCTAATAGATGTTGAGAACAGGAAGTAGCAGATACCCTAGATGAATTGGTAAGGCATGATGCATGTGCCAGAAGGCAGATAACAAAATTCCCTGAATATACAGGGACCTAGCTTCTCAGTGAATGAGCTAGGGGCCTGGAGTATGTTAAGATATCCATACAAAACGCAGGACAAGCTGCTGTGCATCTTGGGTGGTAAAATATACCATATTTAGATATACTGTTTTTCTCTCTTACTGGGTCACTGAAAGCTGCCAACTTTAGGGGGGACCATACAAGGAAAAGTCTGGGTCGTCCTACTGGACAGGTCTTTGGCGTTTATATACAGGCATTGGGTTTTGGAACAAAGTTAAGTCCTTCTACAGCAAATAGTTATCCTCCTTTTGAGAAAGACTTCCTTGCTTGCTCCAGGGGTCTGGTGAAATCAGATGCCTTCTTATGGCATTCAAGGTGACCGTGTGATTTGAGCTTTGGTGTTATCAGATCTATACCACTAAATATTGGGTGACCAGCAGTACTCCATTGTCAAAAGGAAGTGACATATATGACCTGGATCCAAGCAAGCCCTAAAGGCATAAGTAGGCCACCTGAGTAGGTTGTTTACATTTCTCTCCTCCTACCTTATCCTCAAGCCATGTTCAGGTCTTACCGAGAGTTGTTTGTGATGAGTTAACTGAGGAAGAAAAATCTAAAGCTCAGTTCACTCATGGCTCTGTATAGTATGTTGGTACTAGCCAGAGCAGATTGCTGAAGTGTTGCAGTCTTCCTCCAAAAAGGCCTCCCTGGTGGCCTAGGGGTTAAGTCTCAGCACTATCACCACTGCAGCCTGAATTCGATCCCTGGCCAGGATGCTGACCCACATATGGTGCAGCAGACCTCTCCTGTCCTGCCCACTGCTCCCCTCAACAGTGTATTTCAGTTGATCTGCCTGTTCTGCTCCCCACTCTGTCTCTAGTGAATCCTCTTACCCTCGCACCTTTGGCCTACACCCCAGTTCTTCTACGCAAAAAAGAACAAAAAAAAATCAGCTTACAATTTCCACCAAAAACCCATTTGGATTAAAACAAAACAAAACAAAAAAACAAAAAGGCCTCTTTAGGATCCTGGGCTCTTCCACAGAGGGTGTGTGTCGTGGCCTCTCCACACCAGCTAGCAATTATCAGACACCAGCAAGGTATCTGAGAACTCAATTCCGACACTCTATCAGGAGAAAACATCAAATTTCACAGGTTAGGGTCTCAGCCTTCCAAGACCACTCCACTTCAGATGCTAGCCCCCCAAACCCTGGCTTCTGACCAATGAACTATGGATTGGAAGCTCCCACAATCCCCTCCTCAGTCTTCAGGTGATAGATTATTACCTATGCTTTTGATCAACCACTATAATCAGAGATTCCCAGGACACTCTTTTCAGGTTTTGCTAGAATTTCTCACAGAACTCAGGAAACCTCACTAGATCAATTTATTAGAAAGAATATTACTCAGAAACAACAAGATGGAAGAGATACATAGGGAAGGTACAGGGGAAAGTTTCAGATAATCCATGTCCTTTCTTGGTTTGCCATTCTCTCCAAACCTCCATCCTCACCAAACCCTCAAACCTCACCAACCCAGAAGCTCTCCAAAACCCCCTCCTATTTTAGGGTTTTAAGTGGCTTCACTATGTAGGCATGGTTGATTAAGTCATTGGCCATTGGTGATTGATTCATTCTCCACTCCTCCCCTCCCACGAGGTGGGGCTGGATGTTCCACCTCTCTAATCACAAGGTTGGCTCCCCTGGCAACCAGCTCTTACCGTCAGGTGTTATCCAAAATTTACCTTCATTAATGTAACAAGAGACACCATTATCACTCACAACACTTAGGGAATTCCAAGGCTTTGGGGAGTAAGAATGAAGACCAAATGTATGGGAGAAATGTACATTTTGGTCACTTGAATGACCAATTTCTTATAAATCATAATATTGTAGGACATAAGGGACCTAGGAAAGGGAAGTGCGCCCAGAGATGAAGTCAAGACACACTGACTCAGGGGCCTCCCTGGTGATGCAAGGGGTTAAGCACCGCACTATGAAGCAATCCACAGCTTCTGCAGCATGAGTTTGATCCCTGGCTGGCCAGGGAGAAACCCACATGGCGAGCAGACCTCTCCTGTCTCGCCTGCTGCTCCCCTCAGCAGTACATTTCAGTCAGTCTGCCTGTTCTGTTCCCCACTCTGTCTCTGGTGGATCCTCTCACCCCCTGCATCTCTGGCCTGTATCCCAGCCCTTGTGTGCATAAATAAATAAATCTTTTTTTTTTTTTTTTGTGGGACCCTCGCCGGCGGCTGGGGAACAAACCGTGCTACAGAGGCTGCAGCCCAGCGCTCAACCGCTAGCGCCACCAGGGGAGGCCCAATAAATAAATCTTAAAAAAAAAAAAGACACACTGACTCGGATTTGAATA